AAATATTATGAAAGTCACTGTGCTGAGCCACGCCTGTTTCCGTTCGTGTCCTGATTTGTTCTTGGCCATCCATGCTGCAGTGATAAGAAACATATTTGTTTTTAAAAACTGTACATTTTTGTTTGCTAAATATGTATACGCTAGAGCGTATGTTTGGGATGTAGTTTTTTTTTTTTTTTAGAGGACAGGGGAGCTGTAGCATGACGTACACATCTTGTTTTATTTCAGAAAGCTTTAATGCTGCCTCCCTTTTCGTATGAAATGAGAACAGGTGTGGATTGCCACCTTTAGCTGGGTGTTTGTTTTCTTTTGTGTCACGAATCGACTGGCCACGCCTGTGGTGTAATGGATGCACTATTCACAGTTGCTCTCAAAATGCGTCTAATTTTTTATTCCCACGTCGGAAAATTTGCTTTATCTCGTATCTTCGTCTGTTTTCTTTATGTTTCTTGTACATTGTTTAAAATATTATGCCCCATCCTTATCTGTCCACATAGGCGCCACTGGTGGGTCCTACTTCTTTATCCTCCATCTGTTGTTTCTGCCGTCTCTCTTACCATTTCCCTGCGTTAAATGGCCGTCTTTACTCAAACAGGCCCGGGATGAAATGGTTAGGCTCATTGCTGTAGCGCAAGAATTACATGTGGGCGACTGTTGAAACTCAAAGTAAATTTCCATGCTTCTCTAAAGTGAAAGTTGACGTGTGCATAAGCCTCACAGAGAGCCACGGGTTTATCAATATTTACCTTTACTAGAAGGGGAGGGACATCATAAATCTTGTTAACGATGAGTACAGTTTTTAGTCTTTCAGTTCTGAATTCGAGCTACACAAAGTAGAATGATTTTGTTTTTAGGTTGCACTGTCGTTTGTCTACAAAGTTATCGATTATGGTGTCTTTAATTTTTTTTTCTTCTCAGAAATCTAACATTGATTTGCAGGATTTGGTTTTTATCTACTTCTTTGCTGTGTCATTGTGATTAACGTGCGCACTTTCGTCTTTACCGCTGTTGAAACGGGATCAAAAGAAATCACCCTGTTCAATTTTCTCAGGCTTTTGCATGTGGGCTTTAAAGTTGGATAACCCACACTTCGAGACAGACGTACAGACTGACGTTCTTTTTTTTTTGGGGGGGGGGGAGGCAGGGGGAGGCAACGTGCTTAAGCCCCAGTTACACATAGCGATAAATCGTATCCGATCTGTCGTTTACAAAAATTGTCACTTTTGTCGAACTGCGTTTTCTGTTTACACGTTTCAATCTGTCGTCCAATTTTCTTTCGATGGGGAGATTCTTTCTCCTTGCGACGGCGGCGATTTGTTTGCACTGTGTGCTATTAATTAACAACAGAAAGAAAACGATAAAAAAAAGAGACAACAGACTGACTTTGTTACGAAATATATGCACGCACACTATTGTTTTGAGATTACATATTGTTGTAAAATAACGATGTGTTTAGTTGCATCGTGATTAAACCGTTTGCAACCCCCCC